AAAATTCAATGATTTGCAAGCGTTGCTCGTTAGTAAGTCTATTCATGATGAAATTTCAAAGCATACTGAGCATCTTTCTCTTTGACACCATGTCTGAAATCCCACGTGATCTGTCAAATACTAATGCATGAAAATCCTAACCTCAAAAAAATCACCCGTTATATGTATGTATGCATGTATATGTATGTATGTATATGGTGAACTTGTGGGTTGACTTTGTGAATAGCACATATAAAATTCAAGCCCAGTGACAACAAATTCTTGAGTTGTACTGTTCGGAGTTTAACGTGTGTTCTTGAGCTTGACTGCGAGACAACGCAGAAGTAAAACAACAACAAAAAAAAATTAAAAACCGAATAAAAAATGAAAATGTGTACAAAATCGAAAGCTACAAATCAGCAACATTGTGGATAATAACAAAAAAACCGAACTGATCATTTTGGGGACAACAAAAGCATTCCTACACATATATACATATGTATGTATGTACATGCAATGTGGGCATGTAGCCCCTGCAACCCAAACTGCTTGACATGAGTAACATGTACACGCCCGCTGTTGGTGACATGTACATGTATAAGGACCCTGACGGAAACAAGTGATTCTTTTTTAAATCAACTAATTGAAAGACTACTTTAAAACAAATTGAATGAGCAAATGTTTCAAATTTGTATACTCTTTTTTCTCAAAAAAAAAAAAATAAAAATAAAAATTTGTGTCTTGGAAGTATGAAAAAGCATCTGTGAAGTGCAGAACGAAAGCGTATTTAAACGAAACATACTAAATTTGAACTTTTTTAGGCCAAATTAATTTTAAAGTAGTTGAAAATACATGCAGAAATAGGCAATTGACTGCTTTCTAGGACATCGCCATGTTAAATAAATGACTTCGTTACTGTTAAAATAGTGAGAATTTCAATTAGTCATCATTGTAAGTAAAGTAGTTTATAAATTAGTTTCAAACTAATTCAATTTCCAGCAGGGTATGCACAGGTATCTTGTTGTCGCACTGACACTGACTTCGCTGCAATGACTGAATTGTTGTTGACATTGCCTGCTGGTGGTGGGCCTGAGTGCCTGGGTTACACTACATGCATATGTATATATGTATACACATATGCACATACATATGTAGTAAATACGTGTATTGTGGAGCCTGTAATGAACTTTCAGCTATGCAAGTGGGGTTGCGTGTTGTTTAATTGGTGCCTAGGAATGCTAATTTTGAGGAGTAATATCGATACATTGGACAAATTAACATCGATGCTAAAATACATCAGCAGAAAAAGATCGATACATCGATGGTTTCCAATGTTTTACAGTTGGCTAAGTCGTAGTGGTTTTATAAAAAAAATTTTAGTTTTCAATGCACAAACATTACAGCCTTCTACAATTCAGCTAGAGTAATGGATACAAATGATTGCATTTCTCTATATTAAATTCACATTCCAGTACCGTTCCTATAACTGCTTATGTGAAAAATAAAAATTCATACCATAAGGTATCTTATTTTCGTAATTCTAAGAGACGGGTGGTCGATCCTTTTTTATGTGTTAGGTAAGCATTCCCAAAACTGGCTTCCAATGAGTTAATGACATAAGAACTTATGATCAGTTAGAAATTTTAGAAAAATAATTTGTAAGTTGAATCAAATGAAACTTTGAGTTACACTAAAATCGATGTTTAAAACATCGTTGAAACTGACATCGATGTGTGGTCGATTTACCGATACATATTAGAAAATTGTAAACATCGATGGCAAACATCGAATTTTTAACCGATGTTATCGATGTTTCTAAAAAATAGATGCATCGCTTGCATCCCTATTGGTGACAATGGCACAAAAACTGCACAACAATTGTGAGTCACATATGTATGTATGTATGTATGTAGTAAACAGATTGTGCCCTCTCGCATATTGTCAGATATGTGGGGGTGTCGTGGAAGACCGGCGGATCTCTGCAGCTGCCGACAACTGGTATGTATGTAATTAAAGAACCCCTGTGCGAAAACACCGTGCGACAGTAAATTTTACTCACAAAAAAAAATTATATATTCACGAAAATATTGACAAATTATAGTAAACCTGCATACTTCTTTCTGACGTCAGGATTACTTTTAAAAGGACTTAGAAATTTAAAAAATATGATTATTTAAAAATTTTTTTAAATACATCGGTGCAATGTAGGATAACAATAAGGGTATCATATAAAAGAAAAAATTCTGTAGAATTGTAACAGAATAAATGTTTTGGTGCATAAGGACGAATGCGAACGGAAAATATGCTTTACAAATTTTGTGTTTAAATAACCTGGAAAATTGGCAATATTTTTTTTTTTTTGAGGACTAATGTACGCACGACCTCATCATCGAATTTCGTCCTGCAAACTTTATTAACTTAAAAATATTAAAATTATTAAAATCGCAGATTCACTCCCTTTTCGTTCTTGTAAGCCAAAAAACTTTATTGTTTTTAAATTCTAAAGAATTTTCGCTCTTATTTGGTACCCTCATTGTTATTCTACATTGCACTGATTTTTTTTTTAATTTTTTGAATTATTCATATCTTTAAAATTTCAAAGTCCTTTGACAAGAAATTCTGACGTCAGACTGAACAATTAAAAACGTAGTTTTACTGTATTTGGCCCATAGTTTCGTGAGTATATCGATTATTTCGTGTGTTTTGAAATTTTTTTTTGTTTTTGTCGCACGGTGAAATCTACGAACATTTTTTAAAAAAACTAAATACAAACGGGACTGTTTTTATACCCGAGCGCACTTTTGTACAAGGTATTATAACTTTGTTCACATAACGGTTGTTTGTAACGGGCAAAACGAATCGAGATAGATATAGACAAATGAATACATAAATAATCAGAATGAAAAGAGAAATCGATTAAGCGGTGACTGTCTGTCCGTCCGTCTGTCTGTGCACACGATAACTAGAATAAAATTTGAGATATCTTAACGAAACTTGGTACGTGTACTTCTTTCGGGCTTAGGACGGATGGTATTGAAAATGGGAAAAATTGGACAATAAACACGCCTACCTCCGAAACTGCAATATTTTAGTAACTACTGAAGCTTATTCATTCAAAATTAATATTTACATACAATAAAACTTAGACGAAAAATACGAATATTATAAATTTTT